TAGACATGATGGTGCTTCTGACTGTTCTAACTATTTTCAGGTACGAGATGAGATTCAATTTAAAAACTGGTCTAGCATCCCAGAAGAAACTATCAGAATCAGCTGTGGATTTTCCCAGGGTGAATGAGAGCTACACTGGCAGGTATGCATCTCCTGTCCTCGCAGGGAGATTTCTGGATTGAAAAGTAAAAATATATACATATATGTGTGTGTGTGTGTGTGTGTGTGTGTGGTACTATTGCCATCATTTTGGAAAAGCTAGTGTAATATTCATTTTCACTTCTTTTCACTAATTAACTTGTGTGAAAGCAGGAAGCAGCGTTATGTGTATGGAACCTTACTGGACAGCATTGCAAAGGTGACAGGGGTAGTGAAGTTTGACCTGCATGCTGCACCAGAGCTTGGAAAAACAAAAATTGAGGTTGGAGGAAACGTCCAAGGCCTCTATGACCTGGGACCTGGCAGATTTGGCTCTGAGGCTATTTTTGTCCCTCGTGTTCCCGGAGTTACCTCTGAAGAAGATGATGGCTACTTAATATTCTTTGTACATGACGAGAAAACTGGGTAATATTTTCGTCTCTCACGTTAAAAGGGACTGTTTAGTAACACATAATGCTTTCTCTTAAAAATTGAATCTTAAATTCCATACTCTAAACAAGCGTGAGTCTCAGTTTAACTCCGGCTTAATATATATCGTCGATCTTAATGTCATCACTTTTATTATAGCTATGGTGTTCATGCTTTACAAGTAGAGTAAACTGGGTTTACCAGTGGTTATGCAGCTTGCTTTTGAAGTTGAATTTTCTTGAGGACAGACTGCAATCTAATCTTGAATTTTCACCATGCAGAAAATCATCAATCCATGTAATTGATGCAAAGACAATGTCATCTGACCCGGTCGCAGTTGTTGAATTGCCACATAGAGTTCCATATGGTTTCCATGCCTTCTTCGTCACAGAGGTCAGTGCCACTTCAATTGTTCCTAAGATGCACTTTTAATTTTTAATTTGATGTGCATCATGCAATGCACAGATTGACACAACTTTGGGATGCAGTGTAATTTTCATTTTACATTTAATTGGACTTAAATCTGCCTTCTTTTTTTTGTTAGTAATTCTGATCCGAATTACGGTTTCCTTGAACAGGAGCAATTGCAAGAACAAGCAAAGCTCTAATTGCTCGATCATTGAAAGAA